GGCACTGAGGTACAATCTGAAGCCGGGACGGACGTGTCCCGTACACGCCCACGTAAAAGCATCCCCGCAGGCCTCCATATCTTCCAGCGCTCTACGACCCAGGTCAGGAAATCTACGCAACGAGGAAAGAAACATGTCCAATCAAGCAAGGATCCAGGACGAGCTGGGCGTCAGGCACCTCTTCCGTTCAGAACCGCGCAACTTGAAGGCGACGAGAACGACTTTGGCCGTGGCCACAGGAAAATCGCATTCGAGAAGGGCCTCTTGCGTGTCGATCAGCAGTTTGGTCTTCAGCTGCCTAGCGAACAGCCTTTCGTAAACCCACAGCTAGCTAGGTATCTCGCGGATGACAATACCGAACTGCCGCCCCTTCCGTCCACAAAAGACGTCGGAGAAGGCCAAACTGAAGGTCCAGGCAAACAGCAACCTCCGGTTCGCAGACGCTTGAAGCGAAAGGTACAAGCGCAACGAATTGATGTCGATGCGCGAGAATACCGCCAGCCAAGCGAGCCAGCAGTTGACGAGATCCTCAAGAACACCGACGCTCCTCAACCACAAGAGGTCGATACAGAAGACGGCTTGCCCGTACTTCACGGGTTGGGTCCTTATGGCACCCGTTACCCGATCACGTTCGATGTATACTCTCTAGCCACCGACACGTACTTCCATTCTTCCACATTCATCGGGGCTGACGAGTTTCGCCAAGCTCTACTTGTCAGCAAGCCTGGTAGCCGCGACCTCGATGAATTGGCCGGCCATTGCACCATAAGCCATGGCGCTCTGTCAGTCAGATGTGGCCCATGGAATGATGAAACATTTTCTAGGCTACAAGAGATTGTGAAAGCGGTATCAGAACCTGTCGAAGTCCATGGACCCGACCCTGATACGTCATCATCAGTCCACGAAAGTCCGCTGAACTCAGCTCAATTGGCACGATCACTCATCAGCTATATCACCCACCATCTCAGCTTTTTGGATCCCATCGATCGGAATGACTGTGTGGCCAAGTTGTTGCGGCTGTGCCAAACAATCTTTGACAACTTGTTGGTTGCTCAAGGTGCTCTGAACGGCCAAGATCCTAGTCATACTCATGGTGTGGTTCGTGCTATGGCATACCTTCTTGTCATCAGCCTTCAAGTCCACCACATCGCTCAACATCCTACCATTGCTCCAGGTAACCAAGTCGGAGTTGTCGGTCTTGCCAAAAGCTTGTCCAAGACCATCGTCGCTCACTTGATGCGGCACGGCATTCCCAGTCTTGGTAGTTTTCTCGAACAAAACCAGCGACACTCCGTACGCGAGAAGGGTATACAAGATACCGACGTGATTGTTGAGAGCACGGTCATATGCATGCATGTTCTGGAAGAGATGGACATACCAGCATGGAGCTTCTGCGATCTGGCCAGTCAAGAGCTTAGTTCCAAGTTGGGCAGCGCTACTACTGTGCCTGCCTTTGAGGCTACCTGGGCCACGATGTTCACCTTCCTCCCCTACAACGAGATCGACTCGACCGGCATACCGCTTAGAAGCCGAAGGGAGACTTTCCAGAGCGACAATTGGGCTTGCATCCGAGATCTCTTGCGCAGACTATTCGAGTTATACCCGAGTACGTACAGAAAGCACAGCACGTCGCTGAATGGATACGTCCGCGCCAATCTTGCGCGATGCCACCGGTTAATGGCTCATTGGCACTGGAGACGTCCGGAGTTGATGCTCAACGCTGTTTTGGATTTCTTTGGCAAGAATGGACTCAAAAGTCTACGACGTGAAGCAGGCGCTGGGTCGGTACCCTTTCTCAACGACCTTGCCACTGCTCCATCACTCAACGTCGAGCCGAATGAGAACTCCTTTCACATCGCACTGAAGTGTCTCGCTCTAGGTCTCCAGGGTATGAGTAATGCCTATCCCGAAAAGAAGATTCGTAGCTTTGTCTTCCGCTCTCTACCTAATCATGGGCGTGCTTACCCCAAGGATCAGCCCCTGGACGAAGAAAATCTCGCAGCGCTACGCAATCACCATGACCTACTCTCAACGCTATACTGGGCTGCGCCACCCGCTTGTCGGCCAAAGCTTGATCACATTCGTGACCTAGTCAATCACGAGAGCTCTCATCGCGAGGCATGTAGAGTCAGTGTTCGAGCCTGGGCCAACCTTGCTACGTATCAGCTATCAACCGAAGAGCCATATACCTCTGCACGGCCATTTGCATCCTGGCACAAAGACATCATGCACCAAACGCTCATTCAGTACAAGTTGGCAAAGACCGAAGCTGACGACTATCTCAAGTCTGGGGTACTGGATGGCACTACTGATGTCTCTGCCGTCATGGTTCGTCAAACGATGGAAAAGAACCAGGGGCAGGTCATTGCGACGCTAAGAGACTGCATTGGAGGGATGAGCAGAGCCATTCAACATGCGAAGGATCAATCATCTTTAAGGGCATTTTTGGTGGACTCCGACATCATGCATCTTTTGGAGCTCCCTCATCTGGAAGATCATCGACTCGTCAACGTTATTCGCGACGTCATGAAGGTCCTCCAGGATTATGCGAAGATTCAGAAAGCCAACTTTAAGAAAGACGTAAGCCAACAGACAAGCGAAGAAAGCCAGGACTACGGTGACTTTCCCGATATGGATGACCTGGAAGATATGGATGTCGATGTCCCCGCAAAGACCGTTCAACAATCGGGATTGGATTTCATCCAGACTCCACTTTGGCACTTGCTGTCGAACGCATTTGGCGCGGAAAACTCGCCAGATGATAATCTGCTTATGGATTGCATCGACACGTGGGTTCGAATTGCAGGAGGCCAGGTCCTATCGGGTGAAAGATCATGGTCGTACTATCTCGATTCGTTTAGCCAAGTATCGTGGAAGCAGTTACGCCAGACCGAACAGACGCGCAAATTTGGCCCATACTTCATGGCTGCCCTCGTCGACTGTGATTCAGTCGCGTACGAAGAGCATCGACATGAATTCTTCCAGGCTTTAATGGTAAGCTTGGTTGAGCGAGAGTCGATGCTGAGGTTCCAGCACAGACTGCTGCACGCCATCGCGCAAACGGACGAGCATCATCCGCTCATGCAGAACCTGCCTTTTTTCCGCGATCTAGAGACTAGCAAATGGGACATTACGGCCGACACTCTGCGCACGCGGCGCCTTGCCCTCATCTCCAGCATTCTCTCCAACATGCGCGACGATATCCACGCTATCACTCGAGCCGAACCGTCACGTCTAGGCGAAATGAAACGGCTGTACGCGTCGATGCTGAAGGACTTCATGTCATCCATGAGATACAACTACCAACAGCTCCGCCAAGGCACAACGGTGACCGGCGCATATGTCGAATTCGTGCAAAAGATCGTACAGTTCCTCAAGCAATACACGAACGATATCTGCCCTGTGCTGCCCTTCTTCACAGACTCGGTCGCCTTCCCATTACCAGCTGGCGATCCTACCTATGTGGTCGCTCGTCTCTGTGGATACGCACCCAAGCTTTCTGATGCAGGAACTGCCAAACAGCTGTCTTTCTTCATCCAGACTGTCGCACAACAAGCCGCTGCCGATAATCAACAGGCTTATCTGGTCAACCAGCTCACAACTGCGCTTTGCACCGATGAGGCGCCAACTGGTGATAGGGTAGCACTTCGATCGGTATTGCTTCAAGGAATTCTTCCAGCGTACCTGGAAGAAGCCTTCTCATCCAGCACAGCCTTCGCCATTGCTAAGCCCATATTGCAAGCTCTGCCCGCGATCCTGGACACGATGATCTTCGATCTGCGCATCACCCAGACCGAAAGCCTTGCTTCAACCGTCGGCTGCATCGTATCGATTTCACACGCCTTCATCCGGGGCACTGAACAACTGAAAGACAACCATCATCTGCTTCAGCTACCTTACGTCCTCGCCGGGCTCACGCATATGCTGCAAGCTCTCAGGTCGATACTCTCTCCACTGGAGTACATATGTAGTCGCACCATGCCCTCTGCACATCTCAATCCACCGCCACTCATCACCTACATCGACGAGCTTAGCATCTTCATCACCGAACTTCTCCGCGGCGCAACACCAGATACCATTCCCTCTTACGCCGGCGACGCACATGCGCCACCTCCGGAGAAACAACACGTAGACCTCCTAGCCTTCTGCCGCCGCGGCCTGGAAGACAGCTTGAAGACGAACTGGAGTGAGAGCGTTGAGTCTGTATGGTTTGGTCAGGGTCATGCGCGCAGAGAGGTGCTTTTCGATATCGGGGGTGTGGAGGAAGAACGAGGGAGACTACGAAGAGGGATAGAAGCGTTCCAGGCTGCGCTTCATGATGTTTATGGTTTTGGCGACGACGGATATGATGGGGAGAGGGAAGGGAATGTTGGGTACGACATGGTAGTTTAGTAACGTCTTGGATTTAGCGGCATGAAACCGGCGTACACTGGCATTTCTCAGATTACATGAGTATAATAAGAATCACACTGAAACAATCACGCTCCCCGGGTATGCGCGGATTGATCAACTAAACAACATGCGAGCACCTCAAACAGGGAACAAATTGAACCCGTCTGCAGCCTACGTCAACGTAGAAAGATGCGGAGTAGGTAGCTAACGTCAAAGTTGGCCCTAGAACGTTGAGTGTTTTCCCATGAATGAGGAGTGCGCAACAAGTCAAAGCACAAGTCACGCGAAATCATGCAGACAAGTAGAAGTTTATATGTTCTCATTCCGTCTCCAGCAGGTGATAGGCAAACCATACCAGCCTTCGCAGTATGGGATGTGGCTATCAGCCTCATCAACTATACACCATGAGCGAATAATAAGAACAAGAACAAAGCCAAAATCATCCCTCTCCCAAGCTCCAGCCTCTTAAGTCCATCGTCAGGCACATCTACCCATCAAGCCTCGACCTGAGCGGTCATTTCAAGCTGTGAACACAATTAGCTACATCGCGCTTGAAGGTTGAGTGAAACGTACACGTTTTGGACGACAGACCAGCGTCTTTTCGTTCCTCAGCTAGCATGTTCATCCAGATCCGCAAGGGCTCGAGCAGCCCTTCTGCTCTCTTCAGCATCCCTCTCCATTCGCGCGTTTGTAACCGCATAGTAAGAGGTAGTATCGTACTTGTTAGCCCGACGAATAGCATCTATGTGGCTCATTTGGGACGAAAAAGGATCATAGTTATGATAGTCCCCGTCCCTGGGGGGGTCGGGGTCAACTGAAGGGAGGACGGGTGCGGTCTTCTTCTTTTTTGGTTTCTTCTTTTTCTTCTTGGGTGCTACAGTCGGGGTGGCGTCGAGCTGGGGTGCTTCATCAGGAGAGACGGTTCGCGAGGAGTCCGGGTGGGTAGGGGCAGGAGGGGTAAAAGCAGACGGTAACACTCGCTCTTCTCCGACTAGCGTGGAAGCGGAAGAGCGGCGAGAGTGACCTGGAACGTGAGTTTGTTGATTGGAAGTGAGGTTATGGGGATCATTTACTTCCTGGGCGGGCATCTTCTGGGAGGAGCCTTGTGTTTTTGGGGTAATTGAAGGGACAGATGGTGGAGTTGATGGGGTCGGTTCAGCAGCTGGGGTTACCCCAGAGTCTCCCGAAGATCCCTGGTTGGCTGGCGCCGCGAGGTAGGCCTCCATCTTTTCCGCCTGGTGAGTTACTGAAGAGACATCCTTGGAATCGTTGATATTACCATTGAGTTTACCATTCTCCGATTCGGCAACAGCCTTGTCTTCGCCATCGGCAGAGCTGGTACCAGCTGGCTGCATCTTTGCCTTGCCTTTGGACTTCTTGTTTCCTGTGGTGCTATCACCGCCAGTCTTTGAGTTGGCCGCTTCTGGTTGAGCAACTGTATCTGTAGCTCCAGGTGAGTTCACAGAGTCTCCTAGAGATCCAGTCTCACGCTGAGCGGAGGGACCGTCGTTGGGCTTTTGCGAGGATATGGCCTTATCAGCCTTCGCCTTAGCGACCCGATCAGCGTCTTCTTTCTGTAGAGGTGAAAAGCCAAAGTCAGTATATGTTTCATGTTCTTTCGTACATGCAAGACTCACCCTCTGCTGCTTCTTTCTGGCCTCCTTTTCTCGTTTGGCCTGAGACTTGTTGCTCTTCGCGAACGGGTGGAGCGACTGCATCTGCTGAGCACCAGCTTTCTTAGTTGCAGTGACGGGTGAGGTCTCTGCAGCTGTTGACATTTCTTCGTTTCCTTGAGCAGTAGCGGTTGTTGTAGGATCTTGTGTACTCTCCGACGCTGGAAGCTGAGGCGCGGTATCTTCTTTTGGCGGCGCAGCTACAGGTGAATCAGACTGAGTAATATTGCGCGGGGTGATCAGTGTTGGGGATTTATTCAGGCTGGTCTCGGTAGGTATAGACGGCGACTTTGTGGTTTCTATGTACTGTCAGACGTTTTATATGAGAATTGGGTTGGGGTCGCAGTACCATGGTTCGTGGTCATCGCCTTGTCCTGGAGCTCTGGTTGCGGCTGCGCTTGCACAGACTCAGGCTGGATTTCTGGCGCAGAATGGAAGCTAGTGTCGTTCTTGGCCTCATCGTCCGAGACGTCGTTTTCTGCTAAATGCGCAGGCGATTCTATCGGAGCTGTACTCGAAGGCCCACCACCTGTGTTCTCACTATCCTTAGCGATGGAAGTAGCTTCAGATCTAGTCTCTAGATTCTTAGCAAGGGCGCCCGCGAAGTTGAGAGGGACGTCGGTGTCACGCTCTTTCTGTGTTGTCTTGGCGTCTTGTCCTGCCTCTAGCGTCTCCGGATCCTTGGGTGGCAGTACGGTAGAGGCGTCGGCTACATTTTCCGGCTGGTCTAGCGCTGGTACTGATTCGAAGGGAGAGAATTTATGTTCTTCAGCCGAAGAAGTAGGCCCATCGACAGTCGCTGGCTTCGTAGGTTCAGTGATGATTTTGGTAGACTCTGTGCCGGTCTCTTCCTCTTTCGTGACAGCTGGGCCGTCAGAGTTCAGCTTCCCAGCAGCTTTCGTCTTCTCATCGGCTGCATCGATGTTCTTGACTGTTGATTCGCGCCTACCTTTGCCCTTGTTCTTCTTTGTAGGAGATTTCTGCTGATGTTTGGGCATCTCGAGCTTGACGTCTCCTGTCTCTGGATAGCTAGGAACGTCCGACTGCGGGGATGGCTTCTTCAACAGGCCGCTTCTAGCATCCTGGGGAGAGTACGATGCCTTGACGCTCTCTGTAGGTGCATTTGACTCTACATCAGTGACAGGCTTATCGTCTTTCTGAATCGACATGCGTGAAACATCACGCCCAGTATGTGACTGATCGAAATAGCTTGAACTCGATGGTATATCCCTCTGGTAGAATCGCCTTGGTACCGTCACAACGGGGCGGACTCCACGTACGTGAGGATTAAACTTATTAATACCCAAGGCTACGCTGGCGTCTGCAGTTGATACGAATCTAGATGTGTCAGCGGATCCACAGAGACAACAGCGAGTTGACTTACGTAGCAAAGGCATGAATAGAACTTGCGCCGATCTTGTTGCCCCTCAAGGAGACCGCGATAGGGCTAATGCCGATCGTCTGCTTGAACATCTGTGCAATTTCAGACTCGCCGGTATCGGGTAACAAATCTCCGATCCAAAGCTCGGTGACGGTCTGGTTCTTGGGTCCAATCCATGTATGACCGCAACCAGAGACGGAGTCGCCAGTGATAGCCGGGTCGTCTTCCGATGGGCGACGGCGATTGTTGTAGTCGGCATATCGAGGTCCGCTGGATGGAACGTTGCCGTTGTAATCAGCGTTGGACCTGTTATATGACTCCCGCCCGCCTGGGTTGGATACTTTGCGGCCACGACCAGACTGAGCGGCGAAGCCGCTGTTACCGCCCTTCCGGCCTGTGTTGTTATGACCTGGGGCACCGTTGAACTTAGGGTTGTTGCCACCGTAAGGATCGTAGAGCTCTTGGGGGTTGCGCGGTGGATTGGAACGACGGGGCACCGGCGCACGAGGATCCTGGTGTTGAAGCATCATGTTGTTAGTCATGTCGCCCATCGAGACGTGCTGGCTGTGTGGCTGCTGCGTGAATATAGGGTTTATTGGCTGAGCTTGCATCATGTTCTGCTGGTAGTTGAGTTGTGCTCGAGACATCAGGCCAGGGTCGGGGTGCTGGAGAGCAAAGCCATGATGGACCACCTGAACATACGGAACTACACCCGACATCATTGGTTGAGCGATATGTTGGCCCGGTGCCATTTGCGGAGGTAGGAAGTGAGGCGACTGCATGGCAGGCATAGCGCCAGAAGGCTGTCGTGGGTATGGACCATATGCAGTGCGGTTGTTGTTCTCGACCCAGCCGTGTTGCTGAACGTAGGATCCGGAGTTCATGTTACGATTGGATTTTGGAATGTTCAAGGATAGCGCATGCATGTTGGGCGACGGCCTCGAGGGCCCCGCCGGAACACTCATATCGCCGCTCCTCAACGGAGCAGAATGACCCCCACGCTGAACAAGACCCTGCGATGGGATGCGTGGAGGAGCATAGCGCACGTTGGGCTGATCTGGTACTCCGGAAGACTCATTCGCGACATGGTCTGGCTTATCGACGGCGGACGAAGGTTCTGCCGGTGTGGTCAGTTTGCTGGGTCGAGATCGTGTGATCTTGCGGTTTTTCTTACTGCCTTTCTTGTCTGTAGACATCTCGACAATGGTGGACGAAGGCTGGGTTGCTTCATTGGTGGACTGTTGAACCCAAGTGCGTGCTTGTGGCGTCAGGCTCTCGCGCAGTGTCTCATTAGTCGCCTTGTTCATCTCGATCCATGTAGTAATCAGAATATGAGCGACGTGCCAGAGGAACACACGAGGGAACCCGAGAGGCTCGCCGAACACGAAGATCTGGTCGACGACGGCAAGCGGATCGTTGATATCGTAGACGTTGCCCATCTGAAGCCCGATAAAGTCGACTCGATCTGGATGCGCGAGCGCCCAATCCTTAGCGAATCGGTCCGCCGCGTAGTAGGTGTTTCGAGAGATGAAGGTCAACATCTCTTCGCAGAATTTCCTGCCCTCGATGTGGACATCTTCGGCATCCCACAGGTCTTCCACGGTCCACCCCTGTGAGGGTAGAATGCAGAGACACCTAGTTGAGTCAGCATAGGGCTCGAGTAGGGCGCGGCAATATACTCACTGATTCTTGTATTTCACTTGCCAATGAGTCGCTGCTTGCACCACAGCCGCAGGACCTTGGACGCTACGTGCGATGACGGGCGCACGAATTGGACCTAGTGAACGGGGAGCGCGGGTACCAAGTTCGGTAGAAAAGAAGGCCTGGCCGGCTCCCGGACTAAACTTGGGGTCTCTAGTTGCATGGTTGACTGGGTCGGCGACAGTGCTGTTCATATCGGTGGGGGGCGCAGGCTGCTCGTCTGCCGTTGTTGCGGTTTGCGTGTCTGCAGCAGGCGGAGTTCCCGGTGGTTGGGCAGTATCCGACATAGCTAAACTCACTACTGGCTCGATGAGGGAGGTGCGAGTGAGTAGGCGTGGGACAACTGGAGGTGGTGTTCGCAGCAGGGGAAGGTCTTGAGCGGCGCCGAATGCCGTTGGAAACTAGCAACTGCGATGGAGAACGCGAGGTTGAGAATACTTGAGAGATTTGTGGCAAGCGCGAGGGTGCACGATAAACAAGAGTTCGTCGCTGCTTGAGGTGGAAAGAGCAACAAGTCTTGGCGCCGCCAGAAAGAGGAGGTGAGCGTGAGTAACCAACGCTCGAAATCTCCGCGCGCCGCTCTTCCGCTCATGCTATTGGCCCAACTCTATAGCTTTGGCGTGACTTGTAAAGATGCTGAGTGACTGAAAAGAACAGAAACAGAAAGACGTAGTCACAGAGAATTTCGACATGGTGAAGCACAAGGACGCGACGAGCAGTAAAAAAGGTACAACACTTACACCTTAGGGAATGTTGGAAGAAGCTTTTCTTGGGAATTTTTTTGCATATGCATGTGTTTGCATCAGTGTCTTACCAGCGACCTCGGGACGCAGCTACCAGCCGCCTAGCGAAACGTCTCTTCCTGAGCTACTGAGCGGTGAAGCCTTGAGACATACCGGGTTCAGAGGCAATTTCGAAAGCCAATAGTACTTTCCCGTATGTAGTATCCGGAATCACAGGCTGAGTGGAGTGGGTATAGTACAGATCGCATCTCTCCACGCTCTACACCGTCTCCGTCTCCTTCGGTACCGACCGTATCAGCTTCATGATCTCGCTCTCATTCTCCCCAGCAACTGTCAGGGTTAGCGTGAGCAGCCTCTTTTCTCCTTTGCGGACATACCAGCTTTTCCCTGATTCCAGTCCACGACAAGCGGTCTCTGGAACGCGCTTCCGTCCGCCTTCAACCTCCTCATGGCATCATTCTCGTTCTCCGCTCCGCTGATAACCTTGCCTGCCGCGCCTGATCCGCCCAAGTAGTCCAATATGTTCTTGAGCTGGTCGGTTGTGGGTGGGGCTTCTGTGACATCAAGCTCGAACTCTGTGCGCTCGGCCTTGTCCTGAGCTTTGTGGGAGCTGGCTTGATCTTCAGTCGCGTGCGCAACGGATTGTGCGTTGGCTTGTTTGAGGAGGGTGAGGACGCGAGTGGAAGCTTGGTTCGAAGGCGCGTGGAAGAGTGTCACGACGTTCTTTGCGCCGTGCTGGATGGTATTAGCAGGTGATGCTGAGATCCAATTCTAGAATGGCTTACCTCTCCGAAGAATCGCTTGAACATGTTTGCTGTTGTTGTTGGTGTCGTACTGTTGATGCTCTGCAAATGGAGGTGTTGGTGCTCTGACAGCTCAAGTGGAGTGAGGTTCGGGTGTGACGTAGATCGCCGCTTGGACCTGCCGTTCTCACCGCAGTATGATCTTAAGAGATCTACGATGCAGCACTCGAGGATTGGACTAAAGACAGATAATGCAGAGCTTAGAAAGCTCTTAGCCTATAGATCTGGATGAAGGCAAACCTACCGAGGGTGCTTCGCTATTGATGACCGATTTCTCACAAGCTGGACGGGCTTGTCCGCTTTTGAATGCGACCAAGATGCTATGATGGTGCCAATTCGAAGACGTGAAATAATGTAATCACAATGGGGATTGAAACGCGATTGAATGGATGGACACAGCATCGGGTCGAGTGAAGCATGGAGGGTCAGCCAACGCGACGGGAAACAACACACAGCGCACAATCCAAGAAGACCAGAGTTGGGAACACAAGCAGCTAGAATTCGTGATGCAGCTGTGCAAAAAGCCGAATGTACATGTACGCCATGAATATGCCCCCATCATCCCAAAGTGTGGGATCATGCTGCTGCTGAGGAACGTGCCGTGGCGACGTCCGTGATTCCCACTTCCCTCTGATCCAGAGTCATAGCCATCCTGAAGAAACCGAATTCATGACCGTATTCTCTAGCTCATAGTGCTCGTTTCGTTCGCCCTTCCTCTAGTGTTTGGCTTATGAGGTTGGGTTAGGGTTCATCTGGGAGGTGTCAGGTCCTGTCCATCATACAAGTGCGCGATGTCTACTGACCTTGCGCTTGCCACCGGTCATGGTGACGTTCACGAAACGGCGGGTGTATGTGAGCCTCTTCTTGGCGCGGCCCTTGGGGGTCTTCTTCTTCTCCTGGGGCTCAACCTGTGTAGCGTGTCAGCCGGCTGTCCACATCCACATAGCATCCATAATCAATCCGTCCTTCTCCTCAGGCGTCGCGTGATCGTGGTCGTGATTCGACGTGTCGCTATCGGCTGGAGGCGCGGGTGTATCGATGGGTGAAGCTTACCTTGGGGGCTATTAATTGTTAGCAGACGTTCGCAATCGTTCCACATGAGCCAAGACTTACTTTGAGACTTGACCTTTCCGGCACGAGCGAGGGATCCGTGAACCTTTCCCATATTGGCGGTTGTTGATGGGTGTGATGAGTCGTTCGAAGTTGTCTGTGTGGTGGCAAAGTCCGATTAGCGGTGTACCTCTGGGGTTTCGGGTGTTGGGTGCGAGTTGAAAGTCTTGGTTTCGCAAGGCTTCGCGTTTGATGCAGGTGCAGTCGTAGGAGCGGGCGGAATACGTACAGGTTGCGGTCGTTGGGTGTTCGATGACTGGGCGGCGACGAGAGGGTCAAAATGACTCCAGGGCTGTGGACGGCGGCTCACCGGATTAGCCGAGATCACGTGCAACGCTAGTGCATCGAAGTGTGAGCATCGAGCTCAGCAGAACGGCCACTATGCATTCACTATAGACACTTCCCACAAGCAATGAATAAGCAGAGCGCATCTAGATAGCTGTGCCGATGCAGAAATTACCATCTATCAGGCCGCTGCGTCTAGATGTTCGGAACGGAGATCTCGCCTCCACATCTACCAGAGATGATCAGATAAGATAATGCGACCCATCAACAAGTACAACGGACAACAGATTAGACACGCCGACTTTCTCAATAACCCTCAAGCCACTATCAAGCAGCGCGGTCATGCTGTGCTTAGATGCTTATGGATGAGCCATCTCTGTGCCCGACACGGTCATGCCTTCCGCAATAGACTTTACCTTTACCCTAGTCGGAGATCCCCGCCGCGGTTGGGTGTCGCATGATGCGTCCCGTAGCTTCGCTCGGACGCGTCGCTGTTTGCCATCAGCCACCACCTTCACTGACGCTTCACTGTAGCGATCTAGCTCTCGAAACACCCTGTTACATCTCTGCATCACTCAGATACAAGCAGTAGCAAGATGCGTCTCCAAGCTGCCCTCGTAGGCCTTATCTCCGTCACCACAGCGTCCAACCTGCCATCACCACAGCACTTCTTCGCGAACCCGTCCTCCACCGATGGATCCGGCTTCAAGATCCCAACGGTCCACGAGTCCGCCGTCCAAGCTCGCAGGATCATGCGCCTAGAAAACATCGGCACCTTATCTACCGTCTTCCCAGACTCTCACACCACTGAGCAACGACCCACGGATGTCAGCGGCGCGCCCATAGGCTTGATGGACTACTTCGGCGACTGCGAGTCCGACTCAGGCAACCCGACCATCCTCGCCATCACCATCGCGACCTCCTTCAAGAACGTAGATGCCGGCTCCAACATCACCCTGAGCATGCGATGGCACCCCCAGGACAATAAGTGGCGTAGTCCCGCATCGCTCCCGCGCTTCTCGCTCCTCGGCCGTCTCGAGGACATTGATATGGATGCTGTCAAGAAGACGGGTGTGACGGCTTGCTATGTCAAGAAGCACCCGGATGCTGCATGGTGGCTGCCAGGCAGTGGCATTCACGAGAGCAAGTGGGTGCGTCTCGTTGTCGAGGAAATATACTGGATCGGAGGCTTCGGAGACCGTGCATACATTGGATGGATTCCCAAGGATGAATGGTACAGCGTCACTCAGGAGGAGATTGATGGCGTTCAGCTGCCGGGAGAGAAGCAGAGTGCCTGGAACACCCTTGGAAGCTGGTTCGGAATGGGTCAGCAAGTGGACGGAGTCTTTGAGCTGTAGATTGACCATCGAGGTATGGAGCTTGATGGATCGCTCCTTCTCATGTAGATCATGCAAGGTGTTCCAGCCGGACTCAAGGATATCTTTGGAGTGCAAGTCGGTATTTCTGGTGCACATATATGTGTCATCAGCAAAGGCTATGGTAGTAGGTAGTGGTACTGTTACCCTGGCTAATGTTCGATCTATCTCTGTGTGCATCACGATCGCTTGGTATTACAGTTGTACCTAGACGGGTGTAGCGCAGTGCTCTTTCCTCGACATATTGCCGAGGCCCCCTTTGCTGGCACGACATATCACTTCTAGCCGAGACCGCCTACCTTTCCCTGATATGTTCGGTTTTGCGTGTGCCGTTCTGAACCTCTCGCAATAGTGAGGTTATTACTATTAGCGTATCGGCCAGCCGCTTCGTCATGATAGAACGCCATTTGCAGGTTTCCGCCCCCACGGCTTGTCAGCTCAGCCTGATTACACCTCAATCGCTCTACACTGTCGCGCTGCGCACCTGCTCAAGTAACCTCTTCAAGACATAACGGTTACGCTCGCTGAAGAGATTGATGCCGAATGTAGAATATCATCATCAGCTTTAACGACACAATGCGCCTCCTTCGTGCGGTCGACATGACGTTCCACGAGTTCGAAGGCTCTTCGATCCCCCCATATGCCATCCTCTCGCATCGATGGGAGGATGAAGAAGTCACCTATCGAGAGATGAGAGATCGGGCGAGTGCCACAGCAACAAGGTTTCGATCTAGCAACGACCATGAGCTCAAGATTCGGACGGACGCTACGGAAAGAAAGTCTGGATTTAAGAAGATACAAAAATGTTGCGAACAAGCATTGGAAGATATGCTAGAGTACGTGTGGGTGGACACATGCTGTATCGATAAATCGTCGAGCGCAGAATTGTCCGAGGCCATCAATTCGATGTATGCTTGGTACCAGCAATCTGTAGTTTGCTACGCGTACTTGGTCGACGTACATACTTGGCCAACATACCGATCAGAAGACGCCGATGGAGCTTGGGCTGGACTGCTGGAGTCTCCCTGGAAAGATCCCGGTGTCGTTCATGCTTCGCATCAAACAGAGCCCATCAGACGTGTCATGAATAGTAACTGGTGGACACGAGGATGGACACTGCAAGAGCTAATAGCCCCATCGGAGCTTATTTTCTATGCCAACAATTCTCCCGGATGGAACAAAATTGGCGACAAACAGACTTTGCTTGATCTGGTGGCGAAAAGGACAGGCATTGATCAATACATTCTTCTCGGTGGAGATGTAATGAAGTGCAGTGTCGCACAGCGCATGTCTTGGGCCTCCGAACGCGAGACTACCAGAACGGAGGACTTGGCGTATTGCCTCCTAGGACTTTTTGGTGTCAACATGCCACTACTATACGGAGAGGGTAGCAAGGCGTTTCTCCGTCTCCAGGTAGGATAACATACCTTTGGTTCTTCATTGTCACCCGCTCATCTCAGACAGGAAGAAATCATGAGACATTCTGATGACCAAACACTCTTTGCTTGGCAACTCGGTTTCGAGAGCACCAGAAATGACCTCTGTGGACCTTTGGCTACACATCCATCCAAATTCAAAGGGGCCAGTACTTTGATGCCTAGTCTTGATGACGATTTCCAGAGTCCGTACTCAATGACGAACAAAGGCTTAAGAATTGAGCTGCCGATTGTTCACCAGGGCGAAGACCCCTATGGGTTAGCTGTCTTGTATTGCGGCACCTATAATACACGGACTGGTCTACCTGTTGTACGCCTTGGGCCACCAGGAACCAATCGTTATGCCCGCGACGCTCGCTCCACTGGACCATTGATGGCTATCAAAGTCGAGGAACGCACACCCACGGTCATGTTCATGAGCCAAGAGCCTAGCATCAGAGTTGAAGATCGACGGCCTCTCCAGGTAGTCATCAGCCACGACACTATGAAGTTCTTTTCTAGAGTCTACTGTAGTGCTGATGTCGACTCGCTAGACGTACCAAGTATAGCTAGCCAAGCGTACACGTTTCCTCTCAGTTGTCGGCGCGGCGCGATACTAGTGGATGTATATGACTTCTCATATGTATCAATCTTGTTCAATATCGAGCTGCAGCATGTTGGGCGATACACATGCAAAGTTATCTATTCAGGAGACAAGTTTGACAAGGACCTCACTATCGACCAAGAGAAGATCCACATGATAGCGCGGACAATGAAAGAAACCGATGTACCCGAAATGATAGCCTTGGCTAACGAAGTCGAGAAAAACCCCAAATGGAGTCTCATTCACGGCGACTCCGGTCCACCAAACAACCGGACTAGCTTCGCTGACCTATTCGAGAATCGGAGGATCTTGGCGACGTTTGCGCCATATGATGCACTGGATAGCATTGATGATGGCAATCTGGTGTTACACGTCGATATTCTGGATGAATTCGAAAGTCCACAGGAGCTGTATGAGCTAGAGTAGAGAGCGGGATCTCAGTAGCAGCACCAGATCAGGTCCAAAATAGTGCCAACGATATGGGAATGATGTTGCATTTGACACTAAATGCAAGACGACGGGTTGCATACTTAGCTGAATGCGGGGAGCCGTGAACGGGTAGTGTGTGGTGCTCTCTCATCAGGCTGTTGTATGGATGGAGAAGACGAGTAGCTTGGAGGCAGCCCGTGAACACCTGCGTCTTGCCCGTATATGTACTGCCACAGAGTTCACTGTGCCTTAGTCACTCGATACACATGTTCTGCCTCGCAAATATGCATGCCGTGCAGATTCCTGTCGCTACATCGCCCTACACTCTCTTCTCCCTGTCACATTTCCACTTCCCATGTTTCGCCGCAAAAGGCATGGCATCTATTGGAACGAAGTAATAGCATATTCACTAAAACTTATGCGCAACGACATTGGCCGAGAAAATGGCGTTCTGAAATGCTCTCCAAGAGGGGCTGGATGACTATGGTATTATAACACATAGTAGATTGGAGGAACTGCTTCGAAAGTTCAGATGCATCACCAGGCCATACAAGTCGGAGGACTGCGTGATACTCACACTGATCGATGACTGAAGACTGCCTTCGGAATCAGATACTGGAGATGGCTCTCTTCGTCTGGCGTGCACTGCAGCGAGCTATCTGCACATCTTCACTGCGCTGGTCACTTGAGACATATCTTCTACCTTGTCCACGCTATACATGATTTTACTGCTAGACAGCACCCACACCGCCTTCTTCCTGCACCGCCCCCTGCACTACAACGTTTCTGACCCGAGCACCGCTCCAAAGCTATCGGCTCTTTCTCCAGACACAAACCGCATAACGCCCCATCGCATCAAGCTTGCGTCAACACCACGTGTCTCTTGCGCCGTGCTTGCGTGTACAGCTCGATAGATCGTACGTTCTTTACATACGGCCAAATAGGACACATATCGAGACGTGCTCAGATCTTCTCCAGTCCGCTCGGCTTCACACCAACGCATTCGCCCCTTCGCGGCGTATTAGTAATGACGATCGGCTGCAAGTCAGCGCAGACAGGTCACTCGACCTCAACGCCGCTCAGATCTGTGCTCTTCGCGGCTCTTCGGTCGGCAAGTTCAACCGGTATACCTACGGAGTAGCTTCGTAGGGACTCTGTGGGCCCCATCGGCAAGGTCAACCGATACACTTGCAGAACAGCTTCGCACCCTTTCGGCTTCAGCCGGTACGCATATAGAGTAGCTTCGCGGAATCTCTTCGCGACTCTTCGGCATATTGAACCGATAGACTTCCTTCGCAAGAACTCTTCGCAACACTTCGGCAAGGTCAAGCGATACCCCTTACGGGGCAGCTTCGCAGGAACTTCCTCGCGATCCACATGTTGCGCTGCGTACTTTGTGTAACCTGGAGTAACCTAGTCGATGGATTCACGAGGCCACCCGCTCCTTCTCTTTCTCGGCGAGCGCACGCATTTGGCGATAGCTGACAGCCTCACATTCGCACACCGCATGGTCGTCGCATCGCGTAGGCAACAAGTGCGCTGGCGCTGGCGCGAAGGAGTCGTGCGCGCAAGGATGGCGACAGAAAAATGACAAAGGAGAAGACAGCCCTACATCGACGATGGAGATCGTGTTGTCTCGATGAACTACTCACCATTACCATTGCAAGCTTACCAGGCATCCTCCATGTAGACAACAGCTTCATTGTCGCCCGAACAACCGCATGATTCATCTGCGCCCCTTGGGCAGCGTCTGTACCTGAGCGTGCGCGCAACCAGGTCAACCCCAGCTTTTCCAGAATCCTCGGTCGTTGCTCATCCACGTTGTGTGCCTGATGGTGGCAAGGAGGTTCCCAGCAGCGACGATATCACGTGGCCCGGCCGTTCCTGCCTGAAAAGGACCTACTACACACGTCCCTATAACAACCGCGATATGATCCTTCGAAAGGCGGTGACGTGGTGCATCCCAGTCGCATGAACGCCGCACAAGCACGGCACGAAGATGAAAGGGTAGAGCCTGGGAATCCTTCGGTCTGATCATCAATCACGTTGCAAACAAGCATCATGCCGGTAAAAGTTCTCTACGCGAGATGGACGTGAACCATGGGACAGCACGAAACAGTCTTGCGCGATATGCGCGATTCTAGTTCCCGCAAGCCAGCCAAACTCAATCGCTGGTCGTCGCTCAATGGCGAAACTCTCTTTTCGGCGATATCGTTATTTGGTAGCGAGAGTGGTAGTGAGGCGATCCCGAACGGTGGATGCCCAACGCTGTCCCTAGCATCAGGTTCCGGAACGAGTCGCAAGGAGAATACGAAGGTGATCCGGCGATGGCGGCATGGCGCAATGGTACTTTCCACGAGTCGGCCCTTGAGTGTGATCACTGTTTTCTGACTCAAACGTTGTTCCGGGAAGAGAGAGTGAGTGTGCTGAGTTGGACGATGCGGGCGCGCAGGGACGAGCCTTGATGTTGGCTAGAAGCTGGGATCATCCCATCTCTGATCGTCCGCACGGTCATATCACACCCCAAGAAGCCTTAGTCCCGGAGCATTAGCCCGCCTGGCGCTAGAATGCGGTTCGTGTGCTTTGGGATGCGAACGGGCAAAGGGTGGGCGTGGGCGTTCGCGCGACGCGGAAATTGGGCGATCACAGCTGTCAGGCTGGGTGTCCTGGGTGCAGCTATGACTCTGGCAGCATGCTGGTACACTGTGGATGCTCCGACGGTTTGGCCTGCGCAAAGACTGGTATTAATGTCCGAGATAACTGCTATCGGCTTGGGGCTCGTTGCGGGATACGGTGCTTGCTGATACTCACCGCCACGTGCTGCCAGCACGAATGCGACACAGATACCCACAATAGCACCGCCGTTGTTGGCATAGCTGCCATAGCTGTCGGCACTTGGGATTCTCACAAAGACGGCGCAGACGGCTGTCGATCGCGGTTCTTTAGGCAAATCTTCGCGTCTTACCATGACAGTGGCATCACCTGCTCTCTCTGTCGGAAATTTCGGACGAAGCTCGCGGTGATGAGAGGGGGTCCTGGTCGACGGCAGGATGCGAGTCCAAGGTCCCTGCTTGACTGCCTTGTCATGAGTAGCGGAGAGGAGGAGGGGCAACGGTCGGTGTTATGGATAATTCCGTGCAAACCTCCTTCTCGAAGGTCTGGCGCGCAGGGATCATGGCTGATAGTTTAGAGTGCTATTCGCAAGGCCGCGTAGGGCGGCAGTAGCAACAATCTCGCAACAATTTCGCAGGCAAATCGCCCAGCCATGATAATCTAGGGAAAGATTGCCTGGAGCAAGATTGCGTGCATCCGATGATAGAGCGCTCTGACCTGCACAGCTGCAGAAGTAGGTGTTGGAGGTTCTGCGTGGTGGTGTTATTTCGAAAACGTCGTCATCCCACCTGGGCACCATGGACCGTCGCGCGTTTGGTTCCGACGCAAAGGTTCGTTGATTGGTGATGGTGCTGATTAGAGGCAACGCTGAGTGGCTGTCATTACGAAGGTACCCCTCCCTCGGTACCTTCAATACTTGACTGCACCAGTCGTGACGGCAAAATGGTACGATACGTTCCCTTGATCGCCGCTGGGCGTGCGCATCGGTTCTTGGTTGTCGGAATTGATAGACGCATGGTGACAGCATATGTTGGCGCACTGTTTTCTGTAAGCGGATGCGCGCAGCAACAGGATTCTTGTGTGGCTGGGGGAATCGTAGGCGTAGGCATAGGCTTTGTGCTAGAAGGCTGCTTGGAGTCTCCCCTGCCGTCGCCGTATGGCCCGTATTGCCAGGCTCATCAATCTTCTCGTTCTGGATGCGCCATGATTGCAAGCGAGATGGAACTAGAACCTGAGACACTTGCGCAAAACCAAGATGATGCGCAGATCTTTCGCGAGCACGATCCAAGGGCTTGAAGGGGCGCTCCGATCCACCTGCACCAACAACCCGATTGGCAGGAACCGTGTGCCAGCTCGAATCAAGGGAACTGCTGACGAGGCGACGCTCCTTCATCTCCATCCCGCGATTGCTTTTTGTAGTCTTGTTCAGCGGCCGTCTTCGCTAAACTTTATCACACCTCCGGCAAGTAGTACACTCTCCGTCATCAATGCGCACGAGAGCTTGGAATTGCTTGTTGAGTTTCAGGGCCTCGACCGAGGGGATTGCTTTTCGCCGTTCTGTGGGGAGACAATGCGTGGCGGCGCTCTGTGCGGTGTCGTGTCCGTTGCAAAGGATTCAAAGGATTCCTCCTCCGCCAAACGGATAGACGAGTGGACAGGGGTCTGGAATCAGACCATTTGTTTTCCTTTTGACGGCAGCCAGTGAGCCACACGCAACCGACCTCACTCAATGTTGACGTCGGCCCCTGGGTGGAGAGCCCGCATGACGAGTTTGGTTAACGAGCCGTTACCGTTACGATTGGCGCCGCAATGCTGGTTTCAGTATTATTGAAAGCACGACTTTGTTATTCCGTGATATCCCACATGGTTTGATGAGAGACCCGGGGTTCGGAGAATAGTTAAGTGACGATCGTCACTCAAAGCTCATGCGTTCATGTGCTGGAACGCCTGCGGGAGGATGGGGCCAGACTATGTTGGCAAGCCACATGCGATCCCGAATAACCGCTGTATGCTGCAGCCGAACATCGGACCTGCGCTGGGCGTTGTTGAGGTCATGCCATTGAGCTCTGAACAAACGGCTCAGTATAGAAGAAGCAGCAGCATGCAAGCATAAGCGACGTTTGGCAACCACGTTTAGAGTAGAATGCGGACTTTTGCATTACGGAGAAATTTGTTCCCTAAAAATCAGTCGATAATCGGAGAGGACATGGCCTGGCTCAGAGTCAGTGGCACAGTATCGCCTCCACGTCTCCTAACTGACGGCGCATGACAGTTGACTCCGTGTACACCTTCAGCACACTCACTTCGTTCCAGAGTGGGATTCACTGATCGACACGGTAATGGACTCGGGAAGACGTGCCTCTGAGCGAATGCATATTTTTATC